CCGCTCAGGCCTTGTACGACGCTTGTAGTTGCGCGCTACTCCTCCCCTTCCTCCGCTACCCTTAGCCGCCTCATGCTTACCGTTCTCTTCCCTGACCTCGCTTCCTTTCCCACTGTCGCTGACCTCGTTACCCACCTCCGCGCTAGTGACACCCGCTACCGCGCTGCCCTTCCTGCTGAGTTCCGCGCTGCGAACCCTCCTCCCATGTACATCACTCTCTACTTTCTCGTCACCCGTCTTCCTGAGTCCCTTCGTGTCGTTAGGGACCAGTTTCTCTCTGTCTGTCCCACCACTCTCACTGTCGACCTCCTTGAGGAGTCCCTGCTAGCGGCTGAGAGAGTATTGTCGCTGTAGGGGCCTCTCGGGGTGACCCTCGCACCCCCATCTTTGAGGGGTGTGGTCCCTCCCCCCTGCTGCCCTCTGTCGCCTCTGCCGCTGCGGCCGACCTCGTTGGTTTTGAGTCGGTCGGCGCGGCGTCTGCCCCCAGTGGCAGACGCCGCACTGGCAAGGGCAAGGGGGCAAGGGAGCGGGTGGAGCCAGAGGGGGCGGTGGAGGAGGCGGTGGGGGTTGGAGGGGGGAGTGGGGGTGGCGGGGGGTGGGTGGTGGCGGGAGTGGAGGTAGTAGTGGCGGCGGTGGAGGCGGAGGTGGCGGCGGAGGTGGTAGCGGAGGAGGCGGTGGGAGCGGTGGGAGCGACGGTCCCTGGTGGGGGAGGTGGCGGTGGCGACGGGGGTGGCGGTGGAGGCGGGGGGTGGCGGTGGAGGAGGGGGTCGGAGTGGCTCGTCCCAGCGGAGCAGCTCTGGGGGGTGGTCAGCGCCAGCAGCAGCAGCAGCAGCAGCCACAGCAGCAGCCGCAGCAGCAGCAGCGCTCTCGCACCGTCCCCGGCCCTCAGCAGCTCCGTGAGTGGTACTTGCAGCGTCAGCGCGGTGGTGCGCTTGGTCCCTGGCCCCTACGTTCTTCGCACTGGTGACCGTGCAGGGGAGAGGTGTGGAGGCGCCCACACAGCCCGTCGCTGCTTTGGCCGCCTGACCGACGCCTGGCGTCAGCAGTTTCCGGAGGCCGCTGAGATCCCCCGCTGGGGAGAGCTGTCTAGGGCTGGTGTAGCTATTTATGATCTTGATTTTGATGCTATTCTCTCTGCTATGTATGCTGTGACTGGTAGTGATGAGGATGACTGTTACCGGTGTTTCCCGCCCGACCCGGGCATTGGTACTGCCGCGTCAGGTACTAGTGCAGCTGCTGCTCTAGGTGCCAGTGCGTCTGTGCTTTCAGGTACTGGTGAGTCCGCCCTCTCAGGTACTGTGTCGGCTTCGGCCTCTCACACCTTCACCCTTGACTCTGGAGCGTCTCGCTCCTTCTTTAGGGACCCGCACCACTCTCACGCCGCTGAGTCGGCCGGTTGCGGTGTCCCTGGCGGACCCCTCTGGGGGGCCTGTCCTGTCTCGCTTCTCCACTGTCCTCCCGTGTCCGGCGGCCCCCTCTGGCACCCTGACTGGTCTCTACCTCCCCTCGTTCTCGACGAACTTGGTGAGTGGTGCTGACCTCCAGGATGCAGGTGTCCACCAGTTCACCCCTGCTCGTCAGCGGGTGACCCACTGTACGGAGGCGGATACAGGTCGCCACCTGGCTACGTTTACACGTCGGCCGGGATCGAGCCTGTACACACTGACCACTGCTTCTCCTCCAGGTACTGCGTCTGGTAGGGCCCCTTCGTCTGGTCAGGTGTTTGCTGCAGCGTCCAGGTCTGGTCCTGAGTCTGCCCCCTTGTTCGTGTCGTCGTCTGTCTCACGAGACCCTCCTCTGGCACCACCGCCTTGGCCACCCCTCTCTGCTTCGGCTCAGAGGCATGGCCTCGCGGGTCCTTGTGTCTGGTCTTCCCCGGTCCCTCCCTCCCCTTCCTCCGGGCCCTGGCCCTGCCTGTGTCCCCTGTGTCGAGGGGCGCCAGCGTGCTGCCCCTCACTCCTCCCAGTTTCCTCCGACAGAGGCCCCGTTGCAGACGCTTCACATGGACGTGTGGGGCCCAGCCCGCGTCCGTGGACAGGGTCAGGAGCGCTACTTCCTGCTAGTGGTTGACGACTACTCGCGTTACACCACAGTCTTCCCCTTGCGCAGCAAGGGTGAGGTCACTCAGGTGTTGATCGACTGGATCCGCGCAGCTCGTCTTCAGCTTCGGAGAAGCTTTGGCTCTGACTTCCCTGTCTTGCGTCTGCACTCGGACAGAGGCGGAGAGTTCTCCTCGGCCCTCCTGAGTACCTACTGTCGTGTGCGAGGCATCCGTCAGACCTTCACGCTTCCGGACTCACCACAGCAGAATGGGATCGCTGAGCGCCGCATTGGCGTGGTCATGGACGTCGCTCGTACGTCCATGATGCATGCGGCTGCTCCCCATTTTTCTGTGGCCGTTTGCGGTCAGGTACGCTGCGCACCAGATCAACCTCCACCCCAGGGTCTCTCGACCGGAGACCTCCCCAGCTCTGTTGTGGACGGGGAAGGTTGGCGATGCGTCGGCGTTCCGGGTCTGGGGATCTCGGGCGTTTGTTCGCGACCTGTCTGCGGACAAGCTGTCCCCTCGTGCTTCTCCCTGCGTCTTCCTCGGGTTCCCCCCCGACGCCCCTGGGTGGCAGTTTTACCACCCCACCTCTCGACGTGTTCTGTCCTCCCAGGACGTCACGTTCGACGAGTCGGTACCCTACTACCGCCTCTTCCCCTACCGCACTCCGTCCCTCCCCCCACCCCCCCCTCTTCTTGGTACCAGGTCCCCCCCCAGTAGTCCCCCTCCCCCCTCAGGGTCCTGCCCCTTCAGGTGTGTCTCAGTAGACGCGGTCGAGCCTGTCGAGGTCACTGGTGACTCCGGTGCTGCTGCGGGAGCTGAGCCTGGGGGTGCGGAGTCTAGGGGTGCTGAGCCTGGGGGTGCGGAGTCTGGGGGTGCTGAGCCTGGGGGTGCTGAGCCTGGGGGTACTGTGCCTGGGGGTGCTGTGTCTGGGGGTACTGAGCCTGGGGGTGCTGAGCCGGGAGGTGCCGAGCCTGGAGGTGCTGTGCCTGGGGGTGCTTCGTCTCACCGGGAGCCGCTCTCTCCACAGGAGCTGCGTGAGTGGTTTGCCCGGCGCTGGAGGCGTGCCGCTGGTGCTGGTGGTTCTTCGGCTGCGGAGGGCGCTGCTGCCACGCGACCTGGCGGTGCTCGTCCTGTGGGTGCTGGAGCTGCTGGGTCTGAGTGTTCTCCTGGAGCTGGTCCTGCTGAGGACGTTGGCGCTGAGCCTGCGGTTGGTGGTCCGACTGACGGTGCTCCTGGTGCTGCTGCTGGAGGTTCTGGAGCTTCTGGTGGTTCTGCTGGAGGTGCTGCTGGAGTGGGTGCTCCTGCCGGGGGTGCTGGTGCTGTTCCTGCTGTTTCTGGCGTCGCCGCGCGGCCTCGACCGTACTTCGTTCCGCTCCTGCAGCAGGTTCTTGGTCTTACACCTCCTCCTCCTTCCTTAGAGGGTCCGCAGCCTGTCCGGTCACAGCCACAGCTACAGCCTGCCTCCCCTTTGCCTGCTCCTTCTCCCTACGCTGGTCCGACTGGAGGTCTTACTGAGCGTCGTGAGCCTGCGTCTCGTCCTGCGTCGCCTGTTCGTACTGAGCGCGCTAGTGGTCGCGGGTCGCGTCAGCGTCCTCCTCCTGTCCCTGGCACGCACCGGATGTCACTGCGTCCGTCCACTGCTCCTCTGCGTGCCCCTTTGCCTTCTCCTCCTGCTTCCTCTCTTCCTGCTCTTGCCGACCCGGAGTCGGACTCTCTTCGTGCTGCCAGTCCTACTGTCACGCGTCTCCTTGCTACTGCTGTCACTGACCCTTCCTTCGAGTCGTCTGCTGCGTCTGCCCTTGTCACTGAGCTTGTCGACTTTGCTGCGCGCTGTCGTCTAGACTACGCTGCTCGTCTTGTCGCTGAGTCTGAGTCCGCCTGTCCTCCGTCCGTCGGGGGTGAGTGTGCCCTTGGCACGGACGTCCTAGAGGACAGGCAGGAGGAGTTCCAGTGTCTAGCCGCTGCTTCACCTCGTCTCGCGTCTGTACTGCTAGCCCCTGAGGGAGACCCGGATGCACTAGACATCCCGACTCCGCGTTCTTACGCGGAGGCCGTAGAGGGTCCCTACTCCTCTCAGTGGCAGGCAGCTATGGATGCAGAGATGGCTTCCTGGAAGTCCACAGGCACCTACGTTGACGCGGTTCCCCCTCCTGGGGCGAACATCGTCAGTGGCATGTGGATCTTCAGGGTGAAGCGGCCGCCGGGCTCGCCGCCTGTCTTCAAGGCGCGTTACGTGGCTCGTGGCTTCAGTCAGCGGCAGGGAGTTGACTACTTTCAGACCTTCTCTCCCACCCCGAAGATGACCACTCTTCGGGTGCTGCTGCACATTGCCGCTCAGCGCGACTACGAGCTTCACTCTCTCGACTTCAGCACTGCGTTCCTGCAGGGTAGCCTGCACGAGGAGATCTGGCTGCGCCGTCCGCCTGGCTTCACTGGGACTTTCCCTCCTGGCACCCAGTGGAGCCTCCGACGGCCAGTCTACGGTCTCCGCCAGGCACCGCGTGAGTGGCACGACACACTGAGGACTACGCTTGCGGCTCTTGGGTTTGCTCCTTCTACTGCTGACCCGTCGCTGTTTCTTCGCACCGACACTTCCCTGCCGCCGTTCTACATCCTCGTGTACGTCGACGACTTGGTCTTTGCCACAGCGGACACTGCTGGACTCGCCTACGTGAAGTCCGAGCTGCTGAAGAGACACACGTGCACAGACCTGGGTGAACTGCGCAGCTACCTTGGCTTGCAGATCACTCGGGACAGAGCACGCCGCACCATTACCCTGACTCAGTCACACATGGTGCAGCAGGTCCTTCAGCGCTTCGGCTTCACGTACTCCTCGCCTCAGGCCACTCCTCTGCCTACTCGCCACTCACTCTCAGCTCTGCCTTCGGATGAGTCCGTAGAGTCGAGTGGTCCGTATGCAGAGCTTGTTGGCTGCCTCATGTACCTGATGACCTGCACTCGACCTGACCTTGCATACCCTCTGAGCATCCTTGCACGCTATGTTGCTCCTGGGAGACACCGACCAGAGCACATGGCTGCAGCGAAGAGGGTATTGCGCTACCTGTGCAGTACGTCGGGCATGGGGCTAGTGCTTGGAGGGCGGAGTCCAGTGGTCCTTACTGGGCACGCAGACGCTTCTTGGGCTGACGACCAGGCTACGCAGCGGTCGTCACAGGGTTACACCTTCAGCCTTGGTTCCGGCTCTGTCTCGTGGCGGTCTACTCGCTCGTCTTCGGTTCTCGGCTCCAGTTGTGAGGCTGAGATCTACGCCGGGGCCATGGCTGCACAGGAGCTTCGCTGGCTCACCTACCTGCTGACTGACCTTGGAGAGCTGCCTCGTTCTCCTCCAGTGCTGTACGTAGACAACAAGGCCATGTTGGCCTTGTGTCGAGAGCAGCGCTTGGAGCACAGAACGAAGCACATTGCTCTCCGCTACTTCCTTGCTCGTGAGCTGCAGCAGCGTGGTCAGTTGCGACTTGCTTACGTGGCCTCTGAGGCCAACACTGCTGATGTGTTCACCAAGGCACTTGCGCCTTGCGACCATCAGCGCTTTTGTACCCAGCTGGGTCTTGTACCTGTCTTGCCTCACTTGCTCTCTTCTTGACTTTACTTGTACTTTGACATATATATACCTGCTCTTGCTTGTCTAGTTTTATATATATGTCTTTACTCCTGCATGTGAACTGGCCTCTGGCCTTGCTCTTGTGCTCGGACTGTGTGGTGACTTTGTGATCCACCCTGAGCTTGTTTTGCTTTGCTTGACTGGTCTTGTGACCCCTTGTTCTCCCCCACTTTGCCTATGGGGGTGTGTCAGATTATTATAGCTGATGCATGTTTGTAGGCTATAGTGGGGTAGCACATATGGGGTACAGTTTGCTAGGGTTGTATTTGTACCCAACTCTGACTTAGTCAATTCATTCCTCTGCTCATAGTTTCACACAAGGGCCTAGCGTGTGCAAAATAAAAAGAACAAAGGTCTAGCATGTGCAAAATTGCAAGAACAAGGGCCTAGCGTGTGCAAAAAAAAAAGAACAAGGGCATAACGTGTGCAAAATAGCAAGAACGAGGGCCTAGAATGTGCAAAATAAAAAGAACAAGGGTCTAGCGTGTGCAAAATGAAAAGAACAAGGGCCTAGCGTGTGCAAAATTGCAAGAACAAGGGCCTAGCGTGTGCAAAATAAAAGGAACAAGGGCCTAGCGTATGCAAAATAAAAAGAACAAGGGCCTAGCGTATGCAAAATAAAAAGAACAAAGGCCTAGCGTGTGCAAAATAAAAAGAACAAGGGCCTAGCGTGTGCAAAATAAAAAGAACAAGGGCCTAGCGTGTGCAAAATAAAAAGAACAAGGGCCCAGCGTGTGCAAAATAAAAAGAACAAGGGCCTAGCGTATGCAAAATAAGAAGAACAAGGGCCTAGAGTATGCAAAATAAAAAAACAAGGGTCTAGCGTGTGCAAAATTGCAACAAGGGCCTAGCGTGTGCAAAATAAAAAGAACAAGGGCATAGCGTGTGCAAAATAGCAAGAACAAGGGCCTAGCGTGTGCAAAATAAAAAGAACAAGGGCCTAGCATGTGCAAAATAAAAGAACAAGGGCCTAGCGTATGCAGAATAAAAAGAACAAGGTGTCAGATTATTATAGCTGATGCATGTTTGTAGGCTATAGTGGGGTAGCACATATGGGGTACAGTTTGCTAGGGTTGTATTTGTACCCAACTCTGACTTAGTCAATTCATTTCCTCTGCTCATAGTTTCACATGGTATAGAGCTAGGTCCCTCCAGGACCGAATTTTTTTTTGGGCCCACCGAAGCGCGCCCCCGAGGCGCGCCCTTTTTTGTTTTAGCGACCCTTCGGGTCGCCCTCTCCCCTGCGGCCCCGCCGCCTGCCCCTTACGCGGCCCCGCGCTGGCCCCTTACGCGGCCCTGCGCCGCCGGCTCCTACGCGGCCCCGCGCCGGCCTCTTACGCGGCTCCGAGCCGGCCCCTTACGCGGCCCTGGGCCGCCGGCTCCTACTCGGCCCCTTACGCGGCCCCGCGCCGGCCTCCTTCTCGGCCCCGCCGCCGGCCTCCTACACGGCCCGCCGCCGGCCTCCTACTCGGCCCGCCACCGGCCTCCTACACGGCCCGCCGCCGGCCTCCTACTCGGCCCGCCGCCGGCCTCCTACACGGCCCCGCCGCCGGCTCCTACTCGGCTCCGCCGCCGGCCTCCTACACGGCCCGCCGCCGGCCTCCTACACGGCCCGGCCCCGGCTCCTACTCGGCCCGCCGCCGGCCTCCTACTCGGCCCGCCGCCGGCCTCCTACACGGCCCTGCCGCCGGCCTCCTACTCGGCCCGTCGCCGGCCTCCTACTCGGCCCGCCGCCGGCCTCCTACTCGGCCCGCCGCCGGCCTCCTACACGGCCCTGCCGCCGGCCTCCTACTCGGCCCGTCGCCGGCCTCCTACTCGGCCCGCCGCCGGCTCCTACTTGGCCCTACCGCCGGCCCTACCGCCGGCCTTGTCCCGGCCCCGCCACTGCACTGCAGCCGAGCCGCCCAGCAGCAGCCGAGCCGCCCAGCAGCAGCCGAGCCGCCCAGCAGCAGCCGAGCCGCCTAGCAGCAGCCGAGCCGCCCAGCAGCAGCCGAGCCGCCCAGCAGCAGCCGAGCTGCCCAGCAGCAGCCGAGCCGCCCAGCAGCAGTCGAGCCGCCCCGCAGTAGCCGAGCCGCCCCGCAGTAGCCGAGCCGCCCGGTACCTGAGCAGCCCGAGCCGCCTGAGCTGCACGAGCAGCCCGAGCCGCCTGCTGCTGACCTACCCGACTCTCCCATCCCGGTGAGACTTTCAGCTGCTGCTATGGCCACCCCCAATGTTCTCACTTTTGACGCTGAGGGGAGGGCCATTGACTTTGCCGTCTGGATCGAGGATCTGCAGCTGTACTTACTGTGTGATGCGGTAGATGAGGTCTCTCTCTTTGACTTTGTCTCTGGCGCTGTCCCTGCCCCGCCTGCTGATGCTGACTCTGCCGTTCGCTCCAAGTGGGCGACCCGCGATGCTGCTGCACGTCTTGCTGTGCGTCGCCACCTCCCTTCCTCTGAGCGTGCCCACTTTAGTCAGTGCAAGACCGCTCAGGCCTTGTACGACGCTGTAGTTGCGCGCTACTCCTCCCCTTCCTCCGCTACCCTTAGCCGCCTCATGCTACCGTTTCTCTTCCCTGACCTCGCTTCCTTTCCCACTGTCGCTGACCTCGTTACCCACCTCCGCGCTAGTGACACCCGCTACCGCGCTGCCCTTCCTGCTGAGTTCCGCGCTGCGAACCCTCCTCCCATGTACATCACTCTCTACTTTCTCGTCACCCGTCTTCCTGAGTCCCTTCGTGTCGTTAGGGACCAGTTTCTCTCTGTCTGTCCCACCACTCTCACTGTCGACCTCCTTGAGGAGTCCCTGCTAGCGGCTGAGAAGAGTATTGTCGCTGTAGGGGCCTCTCGGGGTGACCCTCGCACCCCCATCTTTGAGGGGTGTGGTCCCTCCCCCCTGCTGCCCTCTGTCGCCTCTGCCGCTGCGGCCGACCTCGTTGGTTTTGAGTCGGTCGGCGCGGCGTCTGCCCCCAGTGGCAGACGCCGCACTGGCAAGGGCAAGGGGGGCAAGGGAGCGGGTGGAGCCAGAGGGGGCGGTGGAGGAGGCGGTGGGGGTGGAGGGGGGAGTGGGGGTGGCGGGGGGGGTGGTGGCGGGAGTGGAGGTAGTAGTGGCGGCGGTGGAGGCGGAGGTGGCGGCGGAGGTGGTAGCGGAGGAGGCGGTGGGAGCGGTGGGAGCGACGGTCCTGGTGGGGGAGGTGGCGGTGGCGACGGGGGTGGCGGTGGAGGCGGGGGTGGCGGTGGAGGAGGGGGTCGGAGTGGCTCGTCCCAGCGGAGCAGCTCTGGGGGTGGTCAGCGCCAGCAGCAGCAGCAGCAGCAGCCACAGCAGCAGCCGCAGCAGCAGCAGCGCTCTCGCACCGTCCCCGGCCCTCAGCAGCTCCGTGAGTGGTACTTGCAGCGTCAGCGCGGTGGTGCGCTTGGTCCCTGCCCCTACGTTCTTCGCACTGGTGACCGTGCAGGGGAGAGGTGTGGAGGCGCCCACACAGCCCGTCGCTGCTTTGGCCGCCTGACCGACGCCTGGCGTCAGCAGTTTCCGGAGGCCGCTGAGATCCCCCGCTGGGGAGAGCTGTCTAGGGCTGGTGTAGCTATTTATGATCTTGATTTTGATGCTATTCTCTCTGCTATGTATGCTGTGACTGGTAGTGATGAGGATGACTGTTACCGGTGTTTCCCGCCCGACCCGGGCATTGGTACTGCCGCGTCAGGTACTAGTGCAGCTGCTGCTCTAGGTGCCAGTGCGTCTGTGCTTTCAGGTACTGGTGAGTCCGCCCTCTCAGGTACTGTGTCGGCTTCGGCCTCTCACACCTTCACCCTTGACTCTGGAGCGTCTCGCTCCTTCTTTAGGGACCGCACCACTCTCACGCCGCTGAGTCGGCCGGTTGCGGTGTCCCTGGCGGACCCCTCTGGGGGGCCTGTCCTGTCTCGCTTCTCCACTGTCCTCCCGTGTCCGGCGGCCCCCTCTGGCACCCTGACTGGTCTCTACCTCCCCTCGTTCTCGACGAACTTGGTGAGTGGTGCTGACCTCCAGGATGCAGGTGTCCACCAGTTCACCCCTGCTCGTCAGCGGGTGACCCACTGTACGGAGGCGGATACAGGTCGCCACCTGGCTACGTTTACACGTCGGCCGGGATCGAGCCTGTACACACTGACCACTGCTTCTCCTCCAGGTACTGCGTCTGGTAGGGCCCCTTCGTCTGGTCAGGTGTTTGCTGCAGCGTCCAGGTCTGGTCCTGAGTCTGCCCCTTGTTCGTGTCGTCGTCTGTCTCACGAGACCCTCCTCTGGCACCACCGCCTTGGCCACCCCTCTCTGCTTCGGCTCAGAGGCATGGCCTCGCGGGTCCTTGTGTCTGGTCTTCCCCGGTCCCTCCCTCCCCTTCCTCCGGGCCCTGGCCCTGCCTGTGTCCCCTGTGTCGAGGGGCGCCAGCGTGCTGCCCCTCACTCCTCCCAGTTTCCTCCGACAGAGGCCCCGTTGCAGACGCTTCACATGGACGTGTGGGGCCCAGCCCGCGTCCGTGGACAGGGTCAGGAGCGCTACTTCCTGCTAGTGGTTGACGACTACTCGCGTTACACCACAGTCTTCCCCTTGCGCAGCAAGGGTGAGGTCACTCAGGTGTTGATCGACTGGATCCGCGCAGCTCGTCTTCAGCTTCGGAGAAGCTTTGGCTCTGACTTCCCTGTCTTGCGTCTGCACTCGGACAGAGGCGGAGAGTTCTCCTCGGCCCTCCTGAGTACCTACTGTCGTGTGCGAGGCATCCGTCAGACCTTCACGCTTCCGGACTCACCACAGCAGAATGGGATCGCTGAGCGCCGCATTGGCATGGTCATGGACGTCGCTCGTACGTCCATGATGCATGCGGCTGCTCCCCATTTTCTGTGGCCGTTTGCGGTCAGGTACGCTGCGCACCAGATCAACCTCCACCCCAGGGTCTCTCGACCGGAGACCTCCCCAGCTCTGTTGTGGACGGGGAAGGTTGGCGATGCGTCGGCGTTCCGGGTCTGGGGATC